ATCTCGCCCATATTGTCGACACATGTGTACATCACACATCGGTCTGGTCGGCCACTTGTGAGTCCACCACAGTGCGACGACCGAGCCAGGGCCTGGAGAGGCAACACATGCACCGCCCGCGCCCAAATGCCTACACTACTCACGCAAATTCAGTCACCGTACGGGCCTACTAGGCCACAAGTACATCCATGATATCCTGTGGAAAAACTCCGTCGGTCAAACCTCACCACCTTATATCTCCCCACCAGCCCATATACACACAAACCCCCCACCCCTTTTTCACCCATTACAAGACAGGAATCTGTCCCTCACGCATGTAGAAATTGCGCTGTTTGGTTTCGTCTCCATGAGGCCCCTCTGCTACTTTAGCCCTTGTAAGACCTAAGCAGTCAGCCATCCCCGCGTGAAATCCTGATGTGTTGTGTAAGTGCCAGGTCGTGCGTGCAATACGCGCATGCACGTCGTTCTTGAATCTGCTAGCCGCAGCACCCAATCCCAGCATTAGGTAGCTGACCGGCTCGGACAGTCGACTAATGCTTGTGTCGAGGAAGGGAGAGCGAGGTCAACTCTCTGAGCGCATATCATTCATTATAATCAACATGATGCAGCTTGTACTTACCAAAGTGAGCTAAAAGTCGTGGCCTGGAAGGCTATCAACTGACCTGATAACTCAGCCCTCCTTTCGGGACAGGCAGCTACGCTGCAATGATTCATTGTTAATACGTTATTTATGGCGCTTTCGCTCAGTTCGGATCCGAGTCGCCCCGCCCTCTATTTCTGACTGAAATTCTGGTTCTTTGTATTTAGAGCAACGAGTGTGGTGGCACACCTTGACGCATATCTACCCAGAGCCAGCCACTTGGACCCGATCCCGCCTCCAGTCTTCCTGATGGTGCCTTGACACCGGTCCCATGTGGGTGAGAAGCAGCGAGTACATTGGATGACGCGCAAATCTGCCCTCACCGTAAACAAATTCACACTCAACTCACCGTCCCTGCCTCCGCTCCACTGTGGAACACACAGTGGTCATCGTCAGACTTACGGTCAAACTGTCATATACATCCGTAGATAAGGGAAGATAGGCATTCCAAGTAATATAATTAGAAGTAAGATAGGTTCTATGAGACAAGAAGCTTTATTGCGCAACTTTTCGACACTCGTTTCCCCGGGTGTCTTCCGATGCAGATGCAGATCAACTGTGGGAAACAATTAATGTTCCGAGTACACATAAAATCGACACTTGCTTGACATTTACACCGACAGGCGTCCGCCGTGTAGGTCAGTCTGCTCTGACTGGCCTATTTCTCTTCGATTTCTCCTTGAAGTCTCTGCACACAGCGCCCGGCTCGATTTCCGATTGATGCATGATTCATCCGAATGCATTGCCTCCAGGAACTCCCGGCCTATCTTAAAAGGGCAGGCAGCGAACATGAGAGTTTTGCACTAAGAGAAGGTGTGGCCGGTGCCCGGATATACATGGTTATCTGGAACAGATGGCCTCGCCCCTATTCTGCCAACTGGTGTTCATGAAGGTGTGTAGGGGCGAGCTTTCCAGTCTGACCACAATAAACGGCAGCACATACATCACACGGGATGTATGGTTAGAACTCCGGGGGCGTGAAAACATCAATTTTGGCGATAAGGGAGACGGACTGTGTAGTGGATGGAAGAATGATTTCGATACAAAGTGCCATAGGACTATCGGAAAGGGAGATAGGCGTCGGTGTACAGCCGCATTGTGTGGTTGCTAAAAACGATCGCCTACCCACGTTAAATTATTTAACTCAAAGATGCACAGGACGTTGTTCGGAGGCGTCAACCATCTTAGGCTGCAACACATTAACAAAAAGGCTTCTTTGGGGTACTGTGCTTGCTTATTTGTGATCAGCCTCTTTGGACGTTTCTGGCAATTTCCCTATATATGAGGCTTTAAGCACCGCTTCAGAGATTTTTCCCCCTCATTTTGCTAATTTGGCGGCTAACGGGGCCATAACACGACAGAGCCCACCAATCTTTGAACACGAACCATATAAGTAACCAAGGGAAGCTAGGTGTTCGCGAACAGAGATCACGCCAACCTAAGCAAATGTTCTTCTTGGCCTAATATACGCTTACATGCGAATAGGATCTCTGAAGGACTCTTTACCAGCATTAGTAACCACATGAAATCAAGTTTCCGTTCCAGAAGATTCCACTACTTTGATGCTTTTTCAGTAGTGGCCAGAAGATTGGAGTGGATGGAAAAATATTTCCGTGGAATGACCGTTTCAGACAACTGCCCCATAGACAACTGTTGGGAGTTCTGTTCATGCCGAAGAAGAAAAGAACCTTGCCTAGGACAGCGATACATTTCAGCTCCACGTTTTCGCTACTTAGTCGGGCAAGTCGAATCGAGCCTTTGAATTAAGCTTTTCCGACCGTTATTCTCCTCAAGTTAATTAACAATCTTTCCCTTAAATTAATGCAAAATTTGAAACCCTTCTTCGTGAAACTATAAAAAAACCACCACTTTCCCAATACAGTAGAAATAGACCAGGAAACTCACTCCCACGCAACGTGTTCTTTTGTGTACTCACATTCGCCAAGTAAGTAATAGAACTTGATCTTCATCCACCCACGTATTTGAGTCCTCGCTTTGAACGCTGGTTATTGCATGCTGGAGAGGAGTTGTAATGAGGCGCAATCTGTCAAACATCAAAAGTAATCCTGTGGGTCGCGTGGGCATATCTGTCTGTGCACTGTGCTCAGTTCAGGTTATTCTATCCAAACTATTCAAACATGCCAACAATACGCACTACTAAATTAGAGCACGCAGCGCGTGCGCGCGACATACAATATATGCCCTTTCGGAAGTCACAAGATAGTGTCCCTAATTTGACATCTCCTACGCCAACTACAATACTAATTAAGCCGGTAACTGCTGAAATTCTGTGAAAAGTTTACTTCAAAAATGATTAGGTCCATGCAAGCGAACGATCATTTTCAGCAGACAATCACCGTGTACTTACAGTCGCCTACGATTTAGTTAGAACGTTAGGGGCTTGAAATCGTAAATTTTGAGAGGTTACTAAAAACGGCTGTTCATCTGCATTAAATTATTAGAGTCAGCGGAGTTTGGAGTTGTTGCCCCTTCTGTGTGCGTGTGACGGTCTATTGGATCGGCTGAGAGAATAAGGGTTTTGTTTTTAGAAGATGGAGAGGGAGGCGTGGACCATCTCGCGTTGACTTCTATCTTATAGCATCTATTATGCGTCGTGATTAGCCACCCCCGCATCATTCATTATTATAAATAATATGTCCCCCACTTAGTTATCGATTACTGCGCTCCTTTCTGACGAAAAATAAGTATCCTCTTTTTTGCTGTTACTGTACAGTTACAGTACAGAAATATTCAAGTTTTATAATATTCTTGAGCATCCTGGATCCGGAATGTCCGTCTGTTGAGTTGGTCTTAATTAAGCGCATTCCAGAGTTCATGAACAATAAACAGCGGCAGACCTTTACAGAACTACAAAAATCTGTTGGTACCTCTTCCCGGGACGAAGGTTGTAACGAGAATGACGTCGCACATATTCTAATCTCGCGGGCATTGCCAATAATTAATGTCATACCCGTCATCCCCCTATCCTTTTCTTCTCAATTCTCGGATTCTTTCGATTCCGCCGTCGTTTTCTTAGATGTCTTTAGCAAGGCGCTCGTCTTATATACGTGAGACAGTATTTTCGCTACTGCTCGTTTTCTGTGTGTCGTCGTCTTTCATCTTTGCTTCCCCTTTATGCACTAGCCAATGCTTCTTATTCATTCATCGCCATTCGTGTTGGACGCACGCAGCCGTCTCTCGTCCAAAGATTCTCTTTTACCAGCTCTCACCACAGCCGGTCTGACTGACAACAGCACGCACATAGTTGAACTGTATCACAACCAAGTCATTAGGCACCATCCACCTGGCCGATGAGTACACCGCCGATGAATGCGCCTCTGAGCTATTTCGCTGTTAACCTCAGGGACTCCGAATATCCGCGACGAAGTTATACTTTTACGTTGTAAGCCTCCGGCAGAAATATTTTCATTGGGGTCGAATTGTCAGACCTTCAAGTTATTTCAGACATTTAGCCCATCGAGCCCGTGACAAGTGCTGCAATATTTTGTCATGTGTTGTTTCTCGCAAAAAATCAGGCCGACAGTTGTAGTGAACGAGATAACAGTATCAAATTATGTATCCGGAAATTCGTTTTACAGGCCCAAATAATCCGAGTTTTTACAAACAGGTGACATTATTCTCGCAACTTGAGTGGGCGCACACGGCCGGTAACTGTTTTACCAACTCTACCAAACATCTACTATTATGGAAACTTGTAATTTTTTATGCGTTAAAAGACTGAGTTTGTCGAACCCTTATGCCTTGCCTAAGTAACTAAGAAAAGTGTTGAGTAGATCTTACGGAATAGCGCTCATTTCTTTTAAATTCGTTTTCATGTGTGACTTATCTTTGGCCTTAGAAAAACAGTAGACTTGTGTATGGGGTGCCATGCAAATTAAAATATGCCTATTATCCATTTACGTTGGAGGAGAGAGGATGCGTTCTGCTCTACCGCACTACATAGGGCGCTCCTTAAGACGTGAACGAAGGTTGTGAGCAAAACATCGAGATGAACTTTTCTTGCAATTGCGTACTGAGAAGCGCGGCATTTGCCGATGAAGACATTCTTTTAGGTGGCTACAAGTGACATGGAAAATCTTTCTCCCTTGAGGTCTGCATGGTGTAGAGCTCTTATCTATGTGTGAATGTACCAAGTGAGACCGCATTTCCCCAACTTCACAGGAGACAGGGCAATATTGATGCCCAGGCAGTATCACTGCGTAAACGTTATTTGTGTCAGGAGATGCGGACCCACCTGTACTCTACCTTCGTGGACCTGACGAAAGCCTTCGACACGGTGAATCGTGAAGGACTGTGGAAGATCATGCAGTAATTCGGCTGTCCGGAGCGATTCACTCAGATGGTGCGTCAGCTGCACGACGGTATGATGGCGCGAGTCACGGACAACGGAGCTGTCTCAGAGGCATTCGCAGTGACCAACGGAGTGAAGCAGGGCTGCGTGCTGGCGCCTACCCCCTTCAGTCTTATGTTCTCTGCCATGCTGATGGACGCCTACCGCAACGAACGCCCCGGGATCCGCATCGCCTACAGGACGGACGGTCACCTGCTGAATCACCGGCGCATGAACTTCCAGTCGCGCGTATCCACAACCACCGTGCACGAACTCCTCTTCGCCGACGACTGCGCCCTGAACACCACCTCGGAAGAGGAAATGCAACGCAGCATGGAACTGTTCTCCGCCGCCTGCGAGAACTTTGGGCTGGTCATTAACACGCAGAAGACGGTGGTGATGCACCAACCGCCACGCAACTCAGTCACAGCCCCCAACGCGCCGCAAATCAACGTGAATGGGACTCAACTGCAAGTGGTAGACAACTTCCCGTACCTGGGCAGTACCCTCTCACGCAACACCAAGATTGATGACGAAGTCGCCAACAGGATCACGAAAGCCAGTCAAGCCTTCGGTCGCCTCCAAAGCACAGTCTGGAATCGCCACGGTCTCCAACTGAGCACGAAGCTGAATATGTACAAGGCCGTCATCCTGCCGACACTACCGTATGGAGCGGAGACTTAGACGGTGTACGCAAAGCAGGCACGTCGTCTTAACCACTTCCACCTCAGTTGTCTTCGTCGCATCCTGATTCTGAAGTGGCAGGATCGAATCCCCGTCACGAAAGTACTGGAACGGACGGGAATCCTCAGCATCTACGCCATACTGAGGTAAATGCAGCTGCGCTGGAGCGGCCACCTGGTGCGCATGGACGACGAGCGACTTCCCAAACGACTCTTCTACGGAGACATCGCGACGGGTTCTCGTCGTCAAGGAGGCCAAATTCGCCGTTCCAAGGATACCTTGAAGTTCTCCCTGAAGCGCCTGCAAATCAACCCTACCAACTGGGAAGAGCTCGCCCGCCATCGTCCGACATGGAGGAGAACAGTGAAGACGGGCGCTGCGATCTACGAAGCCAACCGCATCGCTGCCGCCAAAGCGAAACGCGAAGCCCGCAAATCACAACTTCGCCCAGTACGCAACGCCGCTGCACCACTGCTTCCAACGTGTCCTCGATGTCAACGGACATTCCGTGCTCGAATCGGACTTGTTGGACATCTTCGGATTAACTGCGCCTCTCGAACGGCACCAACCATCGTCCCCCCGCCCGCCTCTTCCTCGTCCTCTCTGCCGCCAACTAACTCTGACAATTCTTCTGAACCACCACTTCCATCCTCCTCCTCGTCGTCCTCCTCCTCCTCCCTCTCCAGTGCCCCAGCGGCGGCCGTTCAGACTGCCGTCTCACACATCACCAACCCCAACACAACAACCACCACCACCCGCACCTCTCCCGATCCCAGTGATGAAGATCAGGACTACACATGCCCTCACTGCGACCGCACCTTCACCTCTCGCATCGGCCTGGTCGGTCACTTGCGAATCCATCGCACAGCGACTGGCGAACCAGTGCCTGGAGCACCAACCTACTCCCAGCGCACTCGCCTCCACTGCCCACACTGCCCTCGCACCTTCAGGCATCGCATGGGCCTATTCGGCCACATGCGCATCCACGAGAGCGGAATTGACCGCAACTCCGACACACTCACGACACCCAGCACATCCACCAGGCCCAGTCCCACCCTCGCTCCATTGCCCTGCGCGCCCATCGCCACCAGCACCACTGCTTCCTCTACAGCTGACACCGACACCGCCGACCTCTCATGCCCACATTGTCCACGCACCTTCACCTCACGCATCGGCCTGATCGGTCACTTGCAAATCCATCGCACAGAGACTGGCGAACCAGTGCCTGGAGCACCAACCTACACCCACCGCACTCGCCTCCACTGCCCACACTGCCCTCGCACCTTCACGCATCGCATGGGTCTATTCGGCCACATGCGCATCCACGACGACCTGCGGTAGACAACCGCCGGTCACACCACACATTCCCTCACTCCCTACCTCCTAACACCATCACCCCACCAGACATCGACCCCCACACACCTCATGCACCCAACTGCCACCTCCCACGCAAGTGGGAAGTGTGCAACTCGACTCGGTCCCCATGCGGCCTCGGCTGCACGGGTGACTTGAGTCCGAGACTATCCCGACACGTCAAGCGTCGTGGATAGGAAGGTTGCTGATTGAGGCCCGCTCTCGGTTCACGCAGTTCGTCACGTTGTGTGTGTGTTGTGTGTAGTGGCGGACTTGTGGGCTGGGGATGGGCTGAAGCAGCACCTTCCACGGCCCTCTCACGCAAGTGGGAGACACGCCGTTCTACCCCCGTTGTGTGAAATCCTGGTGTTTGTGTGTGTATGGGGGGCCAGGTCGTGCTGTGGCGCGCGCAGGCATGGTCAGTCGACCATGTCAGCCACCGCGCCCATTCCCCACTCCAGTCTGCTGACCGGCTCGGACAGCGGCTGGGGTGTGGGAATGGGAAGGGAGAGTGAGGTCGACGACTCAGCGCACTTTCTCCTCACTATAAAAAATCTGACGAGCTTGAAGCTATCACGGTGCGCTAAAAGCCGTGGCTTGGAAGGTTGCCAACTGACGTTGTATCTTGGACCTCCTCCTTGACGGGAGTCGGTCTGAGAGTCAGGCTGCAATGGCTCCTTTTTAATGTGGCCTTTATGGCATTCCCATCACAGTGTGGGATCCGAGCCAGGCGTTGGCGGCACGCCTAGGTGCGGCTTCGGCCGCGCCAGCCTCCAATCATTGTTGTGTTGGTTAAAATCCTGGTTATTTGTTGTGTGGACCAGGGGGTGTGGTGGAACGCCAAGGTGAGGATCCGTCCGAGCCATCCACCTGCGGCCTCCCTCGTCTCCGGTCTTCTTGACTCTGTCTTGACACCGGGCTCAGGCGGGGGAGGAGGGGAGAGTGTAGGTAGATGCAGCGCAAGTCTACTGGCACTATAAACCCCTGCGCAAGTCACCGTCCCTGCTCCCATAATGCTCTGGGGCATACGGTGGACATCATCGAGACCGATGGTCGAACTGTCGTTTGAGTCAGCAATTCTCAGAGCGTTGTTTGAAGGCGTCGATCATCTTGGGCGCAAAGAAATTAGCGGAAACAGTTTTTTTAGGATATTCTGTTTGCTTATTTATGGCTTGCCCCTTTAGATGTTTCTGAGCGCGTTTAACTGTGTCCAGTCATGAGTAGCGGCTTAGTGTACTACGTTTTGTCGAGCTTAAGATTTTTTGAAACAGTCCTCTCATTTATTATGCTTTTATTTTCCTTTGAATATAGGTATAACACCAACAACTGGCTCCACAGTCGGTTGATCTCGATTGCCATTCGAAAGGCCAGCAGTCCGAGTCCATCCAGGGGGTGTAAATATGTCTAATTCTGTAATCCGATTTGTACCCCTACATCTGGCAACGCGGCATATATAGCGGACTAACATGGGGATCAGTGTTAGGCGTGACATACGTTATTCGGGTTGCTCATTTATAACAGATGTCATGTGTGGGGGCATGAAGGCACACCTAGGTGCAGGTCCACGCCAGCTATTTTTGTCACATCTCCGCATCAGGTGGTTCACCGGATCGAACAGTGGACTAAGTGAGGTAAGTTATAGAAACTCCGCTCCCGTGGCGCTCAAAGCATATTCCTCCCTATAGACAGTCCGACGCTAACATTTGTTACTTGAAAGTCTATCAACTGACGAGATAACTCGGTCTTCCTCTGAGGACGGAGGGTCAGGCTGCAATGGCTCCTTCTAAATATGGCCTCCATGGCACTCTCACCAGGGCCGGCCATCATCCAGTGGGGCACACGGGAGACATAATCGCGCACGCTGAAGAGTAAAAAAGATGGAATAATCGCCACTACTTACAATTACACACCATGCCGAGTTTTTCTCGCCCATGGTATTTCGGCGTCACATTCGACGATGACCAAATGAAAGAGATTGTGCTTGCTTAGGACACAACGGTGTCTAGCAAGGGGGCATGTTTCAGTTGCGTTCACTGAGATGGCGGGATGGGTTCCACAAGTTGACAAGCGGAAGACGGACATGACTTTCAACCCATCCAGCGCTTCGACTGACGGCAGACAGTGAAATAGTCTCCAGTGATGGCCCGCTACAAACCCTGGTGGGCGGTTGACGGTAAATGAGCCTGCAGTACTTGTTTAAGCCTCCCCTGTCACTGCCGGTTTTCGGTTTATTTGGTAAGGATAATAGGTTATGCCTTTGAATACCCTATTGTTTCCACTCCAACTTATGTTGTGCGTTGGAGTGGAAACAATAGGGTATTCAAAGGCATAACCTATTATCCTTACCAAATAAACCGAAAACCGGCAGTGACAGGGGAGGCTTATACAAGTACTGCAGGCTCATTTACCGTCAACCGCCCACCAGGGTTTGTAGCGGGCCATCACCGGAGAGTTGGCCAAAAAATCTGCCGAGGTCATAAACCTTCGCGAGGAAACCCAGGCTCTTTCGGATGCGAACAGAAGTTTGAAGAAGGTCTTACTTGAGACCAACGAGGCCATATCCAAGCAAAAGAAGACGTTAACCAACCGTAGCACGTCCACGCTTCCGTCGGAGATCGGTTTTGATGTGATTGCTGTCGATCGTCTCGCTCAACTTCAGAGTGAACTTCAAGACCTGAGATTCAGGCTGTTTGTCGACCGGCAAGACACAGCTACCTGTACTGCTGATGACTACGGTGTATGTGTCAAGGAAGTTGGGCTGCAAGCCACGTGTACAGACCCTGGAAGATTGTCGAGTGACCTGGCCGCTTCTGTAAACCCCCACGTACGTTACGCGATTTGTTTTCGCTCTCACTCTTGGCTCAACTTTTTACACCTCGGACCTAGTTCACCATTTATACCCACTGCCCACTTATTTTAAAGGACCCTTGTTGTCCAGCGCCACGATAGGCTATCTGCAATGCAGCTAAAATAGAAGAGTGGTTGCTGCCACCAATGGCGTCCATGGGATTTAATACCAAGATCACATCAAGGAGGCAGTGCTCTTTGGCAGTCAGTAGCGACCACATCCGACGCATCCACCGTGCAAAACCCCACACCCGCTCCACCCGTCCGCGCCACCACCACCACCTCCTCTGTAGGTGACACTGACACCGCCGATTTCTCATGCCCACATTGTCCACGCACATTCACCTCACGCATCGGCCTGGTCGGTCACTCGCGAATCCATCGCACAGAGACTGGAGAACCAGTGCCTGGAGCACCAACCTATACTCACCAAGCTCGTCTCAACTGCCCACACTGCCCTCGCACCTTCAGGCATCGCATGGGCCTATTCGGTCACATGCGCATCCACGACGACCTGCGGTAGACAGCCGCCGGCCAAACCACACATTCACTCACCCCCTACCACCACCACCATCACCCCACCACACATCAACACTCCCACACCTCATGCACCCAACTGTCACCTCCCACGCAAGTGGGAAGTGTGCACCTCGACTCGGTCCTCATGCGGCTTCGGCTGCAGGGGTCACTTGAGTCCGAGCCTATCCTGACACGGCAAGCGTCGTGGATAGGAAGGTTGCTGATTGACGCCCGCTCTCGGTTCACGCAGTTCGTCGCGTTGTGTGTGTATGTGTGTGTTGTGTGTAGTGGCGGACTGGTGGGCTGGGAACGGGCTGAAACAGCACCTTCCACTGCCCTCTCACGCAAGTGAGAGACACGCCGTTCAACCCACGTTGTGTGAAATCCTGGTGTTTGTGTGTATGGGGGGCCAGGTCGTGCTGTGGCGCACGCAGGCATGGTCAGTCGACCGTGTCAGCCACCGCGCCCATTTCCCCCTCCAGTCTGCTGACCGGCTCGGACAGCGGCTGAGGTGTGGGGATGGAAAGGGAGAGTGAGGTCGACGACGCAGCGCATTTTCCTCACTATAAACAATCTGACGCGCTTGAAGCTATCACGGTGCGCTAAAAGCCGTGGCTTGAAAGGTTGCCAACTGACGGGGTACCTTGGACCTCCTCCTTGACTGGAGGCGGTCTGAGAGTCTGGCTACAGTGGCTCCTTTTTAATGTGGCCTTTATGGCATTCCCATCACAGCGTGGGATCCGAGCCAGGCGTTGGCGGCACGCCCAGGTGCGGCTTCGGCCGTGCCAGCCTCCAATTTATGTTGTGTTGGTTGAAATCCTGGTTATTGTTGTGTGGACCAGGGGGTGTGGTGGAACGCCAAGGTGAGGATCCGTCCGAGCCATCCACCTGCGGCCTCCCTCGTCTCCGGTCTTCTTGACTCAGTCTTGACACCGGGCTCAGGCGGGGGAGGAGGAGAGAGTGTAGGTAGATGCAGCGCAAGTCTACTGGCACTTTAAACCCCTGCGCAAGTCACCGTCCCTGCTCCCACCTGCTGTGGGGCATACGGTGGACATCATCGAAATCGATGGTCGAACTCTCGTTTCCACTCCTGTTAGCTAGATCCAGCTGAACACACAGCAATGACATTTGCCACTACATAAATATTACTTGCATAAGGTAAGTAACATTGATTTATTTAATAAACAAACTTTCCGCGGTTCACAAGGTATTTAGCTCAGGTTCAGACTGTTCAAAGAAAGCAGGGTACACAACTACTCCTCCAAGCGTTTCTGGAAGAGCTTTGGGAATGTCGCCTCCAAGAGCGAGTGGGGAGATCACTCCATTTCGCTACTGCCCTTTGCGTGGAAAATTCACAACATTTTTGTGCGTTACTTCATAAAGTGTCCACGAAGCTTGGACGAAAGATGCCAATTAAACATGTCCTAAGGGCTTAGTCCATTCTCAATGTCTGTATTATCATGTAAACCAGGAGATGATCATCTCTTTGCTGTCTGTAACACAGAGGGGATTGATTAAGGCAGTTCAGTCTTTATATGTAGGCTCGTTATTTTAAACCTTTACCACAACGCTATACATTTTCGGGGTATGTTTTGTCCTTTGCCAGCCGCGGCCGCCGTGCTTGTTCCTCACATTCCAGATGAGACCAAAAAATGTGTCGTAAACTCTCCTCCAAAGGTTACAAACGTCCTTTTGATTGCGTGCTGCATTCCTACGGCGTTTTTTGCAGCGCCGGTTTCATATGGCTCTGTATCCAAACACCAGAACCCTTCTGTGAAGATTCTGCTGGAAGAGTGACGTATTTCAGGTGATATGCCCTCAATATGTCATCTGAATGATGGTTGCTTGGACGCAGATGAGAGGCTACACAGTTCTGCACATTTTGCGGATCGCATTTGCAGTCGATGCGGATTTTTTTGAAGGACTCTTTTGTCATTCAGGCCCTTAATGACTTGCCAGAACATAACGTCGTTGGCAGAACTTTTTTTACTGCAGAAAAGTTCATGAAGGCTGTCATTATTAAAAAGGATGGAAAGGGTTTAAGAACTGAACCCTGAGGCACATCATTAGTCACGTTTTCTTCTATACAGCGCGCTGTTTTCGACCAATCAAAAAACCGATACGATCATGTTACTCTTCCACTGCCTCTACTGATGGGGCATTTAATGGTTCTGAAGACTCAGGTAGCTATCCCAACCTCTTTATTTGTCAATGACTTTTTGTCAGCCTTGAATGGCAGTGCAAGGGACCTCATACAAACATTCCGCATTCTTGAAGAAGGAGACACGATCGCCGGAACAAGAGATTTATTAGCCTGACGTTTCGGATTCCTACTCGAATTCATCATCAGAGACAAAAAAGCAGAAACGGATGGTTGTTGCACAAGGGGCTGCGGTATTTATAGGATGCAGTTGCCATGCTACCGCATACCTATGAACATTCACGGCCCCCCCCCCCCCCCCCCCTTCATCCGGGATCGTCGCACTTGGTGTGATCATTGCTTGATGGCCGACATTCGAGTCGATAATTACTGCAATTTCATTACGTGCGTTGGATGTTGGCGTGATGATTGCTCGACCATCTGACGCATCGACCCCGGTGTTGGGAAGAGTGTTCACCTCTGCGCTCTCCGCATGGCTTGTTACTCCGCCTAGGCGAAATTATAGCACGCAGTATGGAGTGGGAAGATCATCGCCCAGAAACGACAAATGGGTGGATGTTGATGTGATGATTGCTCGACCATCTGATTCACCGACTCTTGTGTTGGGAACTGTTCACTTGTGCACGCCCCGCGAGGCTAATGACTCCGCCTGGGCGAAGTCTCAGCACCGAGTACGGAAAGGGAAGATCGTTGCACTTGTTGATGGACTGGGGGCCAGTAAACCATGATTCCAGTAGCTTCCGACTCACTCGGTTATCACCTCTTGTGAGAATTTCGGCCTCATCGAATTTGAATATATGGTCGGATCTCGTCGAATGAGCTGCAACTTGAGAACTGGCGTCATTTCTGCGCACCGCTGCCGCGTGTTCGGCCATTCTCGTTCGGAGCTGTCTTCCGGTTTCTCCGACGTAGTTGCTTTGTCCGCAACTGCACCAGATCCGGTAAACGACTCCAGACGTTTCTGGCCGTGTCAGTGGGTCTTTCGGTTTCATGAACAGACGCCTGATGGTTGCCTCCGGTCTGTGTGCCACTCCAACCCCAAGTGGTGCAAGAAGGCGACCGACAGCTTCCGAAACGTTCTTGACATACGGAAGTGCCCGCCAAGATTTGCTGTCCGTGTGGTTAGGCCTTTCGTCCATTTTGCATATGCACCGGTTGACGAAGTTGCGCGGGTAGCCATTGGCTTTGAAGACCCGTCGGAGGTATTGTAATTCGGCAATTTTGTCTTCCGGCTCACTGCAGTGCGTTTCGACACGCCGATAGTGCGTCCTTACACAACTGCGTTTGTGGCTGATTGGGTGGTTACCGTTGAAGTTCAGTACTTGCATCGTATTTGTCGCTTTCCTGAACAATTTGGTTTTTTAGTTCACCACTATCTTTGCGGCATACGAGAACATTCAGAAAGGTCAGCTGGTTGTTCTCTTCCTCCTCCATCGTAAATTGAATGTCCGGGAAGACCGCATTTAGACGTTCCTTGAATGTCAGCAGTTGATCCCGATCGATAACGACGAAGGTGTCATCCACATACCGGGCCCAGAAAGTCGGTTTGTGGTGTTGGAAGACCAGCGACTCTAACCGTTGCAGGACCGCCTCGGCGATGAACCCCGAAATCGGCGAATTCATAGGTGTGCCCTTCACCTTTTCGTAGATTGTCCCGTCGAATGTTAAGTACGTCCTGAGACAGAGCTTCAGGAGCTGAAGGTCTTGGGCGTGTCCAAGACGGTTCTCCATTTCATTGTATTTGCTTTGTAGTAGCAACTCAATTGTCTCGATCGCCAGGTCCTGGGGAATAGAAGTAAAAAGGGATGTAACATCAAAAGATACCATGACCTCATTTGGATGGATGCTTACCCCTTTGAGTTTCCCCAGGAATTGTGCTGACGAAGAGACCGTGGTGTCGGACTCAGCGGTCAGGAACTTGAGACGCCGGAATAGCCACTTAGCCAGTCCGTACGTTGGAGTCCCTTTGAGCGACACGATGGGTCGGAGAGGAGCACCGTCTTTGTGCACCTTAGGGAGGCCATGGAATCGGGCCAAAGCCGTATCTTGGGGTCTCGCCATGCGACTGTCGGTCGGTGTTATTGCACCTGAGTTCTCCAGGGCATTATGAATATACCGGGCGGTTGCTTATTCCTGGTGATTTTTTCATTTAGGCCAACACACCCTTTTTGCGCAGTCATTTCCTCAAACTACGCTCAAGAAAGTCACGGACTGATGTTTGCAAATATTTCCGCAGTAACAGAGTGCGGTCGCAGTGTGGAACGCCTTACCCACAGCGCTTATTCACTCCTCATGTGTGGATCCATTCAAGGACAAAATCAACACTCATGTAGCACCCAACTGTTCCGTAACACTCACCTGCCATAAGTCCACTTTGTGCTTACATGTTACTATATTACTCGCAACTATTGAGTACGATTTATATTTGTATTTTCACACATTTCATCCAGCTACTTGTCATATTCATTAATGTCAACTATCTCTTTTTCAACGCTTTTATGTATCAATGCCGCTTTCGAGATTTTTGTAACCAAAAGGGATTTCAAAGGCGTTAACCCACCTTCTCCCTAATAAAAGTAAATTGAACTGATATCCTCTAAGAATTAACGTTATGTAAAGTACAATAAGTGGGCTAACTCATGAAATGTCAACCGAAATTACGAGATTCGGTTTCTTTCCAAAAAGATTAATTAAGTTGGGTTGTAAAACTAATCATCTTGCAGCATAATTCTATAATAATTCAGTTTCCCCCCGGATGCCGGCTTTCGAGCAAACTTCTTTCCGGCTGCATCTAAAAACCATGCTCCGTGAAAAATGGCTACTTAAGTGGCATGCGTTTTTTCATAGATTTTCTATGCCCTTAAATATCCAATTATATTTCAGGGAAAACATGCATAACAATATTCATTCTTCTTCTGAATATTCATTCCTTCGCTCATTCAGTAGAAAATTACGTCTTCTTTCAATTGAACGCTCGAAGGAAGGGTATAATTTGGTTTTCTAAAACTTTTCCAGGCGGGAATACAGTGTCGCAACACTTAGAATTGTCTATTCCCCCACCAGCCTGTCTTACGGGCGGACTACTATTACTACTACTACTACTACTACTACTACTACTACTACCACTTCTACTACTACTACTACTACTACTACTACTACTACTACTACTACCACTAATACTACTACTACTACTACTACTACTACTACTACTACTACTACTACTACTACCATCACCACTACTACTGCTACTACTACCACTACTATCGCTGTTACTACTAATACTACTACCACTGGCGGGAATACAGTGTCGCAACACTGAAGAAAACTTTTTCCGCCGTCTACCACCACTGATACGGCGAATACTACTAATAATCCTACTATTAGTACTACTACTACTACCACCGCCACCACGGCTGCCAATGCTACTCCACCAACGCTTACAGTATGGGTAACTAACTGCAATAATACTAGCATCAGTAACGGAGTGTTGCGACACTGGTATCCAACCCTTTTCCAATTCCCGAATAATTTTGAACTCGACCTGCCGTTATGCTTGCATGCAGGGTTCCCAAACTACAACCCGTATAATTTCCGCGCACGGAAAACCATACATTTCTCTAAGGTTATAAGGGGGGATCATATAGGGTTCCTAAAATTAAGCAGTGGATTTGAGCCACATTGTTAACTTTACAAGCCGCATTGGTAAATGCAGAGACAGGACGTTTTATGAAGGTCCACTTCACGGTATTAAAAAATCTCACAATTAGAAACTTTTTTATATCGAATTATACCCTTCCTTCGAGTAAAAATTGGAACTCCTTATCCACAGCGCTCATTCACTCCTCATGTGTGAATCCATTCAAGGACAAACTTAGCACGCATGTAGCACCCAGCTGTTCCGTAACACTCACCTGTCATAAGTCCACTTTGTGTTTACATGTTACTATATTACTCGCAACTATTGAGTACGATTTAAATTTATATTTTGACACATTTCATCCAGCTACTTGCCACATTCATTAATGTAACCTATCTCTTTTCAACGCTTTTAGGTATCACTACTGCTTTCGATATTTTTGCAACCAATAGGGATTTCAAAGGCGTTAACCCATATCTGCCTTAATAAAAGTAAACTGGCCTGATATCCTCCAAGAATTATCGTTATGTTAAGTATGTCATGTAGTTAAGTGCACGTTATGTCCCTAAAACGGGCCACATGGTAGATGAGCTGGACTAACACAGGGTCAAGACCGGAGTCCGGCAGACGTTATTGGGAATGCGCACTCATAACAAATGCAAATGTAAAGTATATCACATATGGTGGCAGGCTCGGTTGCTGGCTCACGCTGTGCCAGTTGGGTTTCCCGCCCTCCGCCCACTTTTATTAATGTTGAAAATTCTGGTCAAGTTCTTTTTTGGGCTAGGAGGTCTGGCGGTACGCCTGCCCTAGTAGCATTGAATAGCTACCCGATGCACTCTTATCGCGGAAATCTCGCGATTGGGCTGTCTCGTAACCTGATTGGTCGACGAGTTTATCGATCTCCCACGACCATTGTCTGGCGCGATTGGGTGCGGGTTTTCTCCACCTGCGCCCCCCCTTCCACCTCCGGTCTTCCTGAACCTGTCATGTTACCGGACCTAGATGCAGGAGAAGAAGTGGATGCGGTAGATGCTGCGCAAGTCCACTGTCATTTCACACTAACTCACGTGCAAATTACTGTCCCTGATCTCACTCGTTGGACACGGTGGACATTGTAGGGAACGACGGTCGAACTGTCGTAAGTGCACGTTTTGTATGATTTAATATACTGACAGCACAGGTTCGGGCTAAAAATCCGGACAAATATTTCGCCACTATTCTGCTCGTGCATGATACAACTGCGATAGGCTCGACGCATCAATGAGAACCTCAACGTTCCGGTGTGTTTTCTGGCAGAAATCCTCACTTTAAAATTTCAGCTTTTTACTCCGCTGAGAAATCGGAAGTTCTTCTTTTCAAACAGAGAGATCGAGGCTTGGAATGCTCTGCCAGCAGATGTCGTCATGTGCACATCCGTTGAGGCTTTTAAGCGCAAGTTGGACCAGTGTACCACTAAACGTCATAATGTCACCTGACCGACATCGTCTTAGCATTTCGTTCGAACAGTGTAATAATGTTATTATATTACTGCCTGTATTTTAGTAACGTTTGTTTTTTATTATAGTCCCAGTTCCGTTGAATGTGTGTTGGCATTCAATTCGTCTCCCTCAGAAACTGAGATAGCACGAACTACCCATAGACAGACTACTGTACGGCACATTTAGTAACGTTACTGTTTTTAACCCTTGGAAAGCTTCGTTTATTTGTCCCGGACCGAAAAATTTGTCAATCTGAAAAAAACTTCTGTAGCTGTTTAATGTTTCCATTTTCAAATTTTCGATATAATGCACTTCCTTTTAACAAATACGAAGTTCAAATAAACCGAAACTGAAATTAACTTGGGGTTGATCCTTCAGAAGGGTGATGTTGGCTGATAGTAGAATTGTACAAATTCTTCCGCACTACCTACTCCTCATCCATCCGACCTCAGTGCCATGACAGAGTCAAAAAGACCGTAGGCGGGGTCATGCACAGTGGATGGTGAAGTTAAACAACCCGACTGCACGCGCCACACACACCCGATCAGATAACAGTGGATCCGGTCTTCACATAGACAAGGACAGGACTCAGTTCGATTTATTTGAGAGAAATACGACTGTTGTACTTTTGAATTCCCTTTTTGTAACACACTACTGAAGCACTTATATCAGAAAGTTGGAGATGGAAGCATCAGATATCTACGGAATAACTATCGAGGTTGTACAAATAAACGAAATATTCTAAGTGTTAAGAACATTGAAACTACAAAATACCTTGTACAGCAGTCAGCCTATGCTTAATTATGCCACAGAGAAATTAGTGCGGTTTAAATTATCTATAGGCGTCAAAATGAACGTCAGTTTTGCGTTCAATGAGTTTCAGATGAAATAAAACTTAAAACAAACGTTACTGAATTATAGACAGTAGTATTATAATGGTAACAACTCGTAAGAACGGATCGCCAAGATTGCTTTCGTCGGCTGGCATTGTGATGTGTGATGGTATACTGACCCATCTTCTCCTTAAAATCCTCGGCAGACATTGACTTGACGATATCCGCAGGCAGAGCATTCCAGGCTTTAACCACTGTTGGAGAGGAAGTACTGCCATGTGCTCAGCCTGGCGCGTGTCACACGTTGTTTGAGTGGACGACCTCGTAGGTTCGTTGTGGTTGGTAACTCAAAGAAGTCCTCAGGAACGCGACAGCACTCCTGCTCGCGCATGATGCGAAATGTTTGGATCAAGTCACCTCTTAACCGTCTGCAACTGGGAGGACAGAGTTTGAGATTAGATAATACCGTCTCGTAGGATATTGAGCCCTGCCCATCAACGAGTTCGGTTGCACGCCTTAGAACTTTTCGAAGGAGCTGAGGTCTTTAACGATCCATGGTTTCCACGCTTGATTATTAAACTTCAACCGGGGCAGCAAAGACGGTTGAAAGACTTTAACGAAGCAGTCTTTATCGAAAGAAGAGGAACCCTACTTAACAAGGTGTAGGACAGACATCGTGAATTTGTCTGCCTTTGAGCAGTACAGCGAAACTACAAGTTAGATCGTGATCCTCACAGCAAAACTCTTGTGGATGTCTACTTCCTGTGGTCCGCAGATCGGATTCCACCGACTCGCAGAATTTTTCAATTATTCACATCGACCGGCTGTTCTGCACTTGCCTCAGCCTCGCTGGTCACTCGTCCAACAATCTTTGATTAAATCCCCAAATCAGAGCTCGACATCAAGGGCTGAGGAAAATAGTTACTGCTGTTTTCATAGCGTATATTAAGCTAACAAGGAATACGGCGGAATGTTCAAGGTTAGAGTGAAATTCGAACAATCACGTGGTGTCCCTGAGTGATTAGCACGTCAGCTGGACTTCCAAGTCATCTGATTGGTTGGTTAAAACCCCAATCCTGGCGGGAGCTGACGTGACAGCAACACGTACTC